AATATAGAATGACTTTAAATATTCCAAATGCTTGAGAGCCTACTTAAAAACTGATACCGACAACACTTTCTCCAAACTGTTTACAAATGACTATACTGCAACAGTGGTCAAAATGAAAGTTATTTTATGTGCCTAGCACCGGGCAGGTGCATAATAAATATTAGTGCACAAATGAATTACAATATGAATGTCAAATAACATAAAAACAACGAGATCTGCTGTGTTATTTTGGCAACATTAAAGACTAAATTTGACCAATTCCAGAGTAGTCTGCTCTACTGTGTTTGTAATTTCCCTAACAAACATAATCACATATATTTAATGTACATTAAATTATATATATTTATATTATTAATGCAATTTAACAAAATTTTAATTATTTATAATTGTATATACCTGTTTCATCTGTGAATTTATTAAATACCCTGAATGATTCTTGATAACATTGCATGCATTGTAGAGAATCAATTATGCCCTCTGAATGAATGCTTTCAGAGTTCAGGAGTAATTATAGGGATCTCTTTAAGGACCTAAAAACCAAAAAATGTCAATATTCTTATTTTATACATTATAAAGCATCGCTATAATCCCAGACCCTTCTTCATCATGTCCTCTCTTTTCCAACTCTTTGTCCTTAAAATCTTTACATTTGCTTTACGCTGAACTCTCAGGATGCTACAGTGGAAACAGGTAGGTGGAGGTAGAGCATACTACTACTTTTTGCTTGTTAATGTGAAAATGCACTTTATATTTTTTGATAGAGAGGTCATGTGAGCTGGTTAATGAATTGGCAGGTAAATTAGCTATTACTGCCAAACGAGTTGGCTGAGATAGCAACATTAATTTATTTGGATGGACATGGGTTGACAATGCCATAAAAAGGTAGTGGTGTAACTTAATGGAACAAAATGTCAAGAAAACGTAGGTCGGGCATGGTGTGATTTGGCAAGCCTCAGAATGTTTCCATGTTCTTAATCTGGGCTATTGTCTCTCAGATTACTCTGCGAAAATGTAAATACCCCTAACCAGAAACCATACGCCTTGCCATCAAGTCGATTCAGATTTATAGCCATCCTATAGGACAGAGCAGAACTGCCCCATGGAGTTTCCAAAGAGCAATTGGTGGATTCGATCTGCTGACCTTTTGGTTAGCAGCCAAGCTCTTAATCGCCGAGCCATCAGGGCTTCTTAAATACCCCCAAAAGGGTGATATGTTAAGCTACCACCATTATCAGGTGTTAATAGTAGATTGAAATTGCTGTCGAACATTCTGACTTATAAAATAGCATTTTTATTTAGTTCAACCTAATAACTTTCTGGGGATGGTTTAGCCGATTTTTTTTTTTTTTAATTGAACTGAGGAGACAGAGGACAAGAAATCTTTGAGGCAAGAAAAACTTGAATACGAAGTATTGCTTAGTCAGCCATGTTGTCAGGATGTGGTAACACTTCTCTTATTCTAGACATGATAATTCTGTTATGCTCCCAAGATCGCATTAGCTGTTCTGGTGTCCATTTTATATTTACATAAAACTTACAGTGAACTCATAGAAGAGTGAACCATTGTAGACTAAAACCCCCAAAACGTTTCACTTAGGTTGATCCTAAATCATATTTTCTATGGCCTGCCTTGGAAGTTGATTGGTCGCATCCATATTCTAGGACCTAATGTTCACCTCTGTAAAAATTTACTTAAATTCAGCCTAGATCTCCAGCCTATCTGTATGAGTACTGGTTAAGACTATGGACTTTGGAGTCAGGCAGACCTGAGTTCAAAATCTAACTCTGCTACTTATTAGTTGTTGGATCTTCAACAAGATATCTAATCTTTTTGAGCCCCAATGTCTTCATCTTTACATGACAATACTACTTCTGAGAGTCGTTAAATGAGTTACCTGTGGGTTAAGTGAGTTGTGGTAATCACTGTGCCTGGCACTGGTAAGTGCTCAGAATTTCTCTTTTTAGAAGCTGTTTCTGTCCCCAAATGCATTTATACTCTTTTTTCCAGCTTCGTGTCAACTGCAAATGATGTAAGCATACCTTTTACATCTTCATACATGTCAACGATTCTTAAAATATCGGTCGGAACAGGGCCCCAGATGCTGTCCTGTTAGACAGCACTAGAAATCTCTGTCAGGTGACATTAATCCACTAAATATCATCCTTTTCCAAAAGTCATTGTCTAGCTTTTCTTACAAACTGCCCACATGTCACCATCTTGTTCTTAAGAATATCATGACTAACCTTATCAAATAGCTTGCTTAAGTGCAGATAAACCCATAGCTCCTAGATTTCCTTCAGTTACCAGCCTAGTGAATCTATCAAAGAAGGGATTGTATTAGTATAACATGACTTGTTTACAGGGAGTTCTGAGGGGAGGAGCCTTGCCTTTTACATCTGGCACCTAGTAGAAACTCATTAATGTTTGCTGAATTCTGAACTCAATGAAAGCAGAGATGGGGATTGTTTGCTTTCTGCTGAATCTCCAAGGTAAGCATTATTTGTTACTCCCAGTTCCACCCTCTCTCTGCACCCCCTCCACCCTGAGGTCACAACAGAATTAGGGAGGCTTACTGATCTCCAAATGAGCCCTGGTGGCGCAGTGGTTAAAGCGCTGGGCTGCTAACCGAAAGGTGGTCAGTTTGAACCCACCAGCTGCCTCACGAGTGAAAGACATGGCAGTCTGCTTCTGTAAAGATTTACAGCCTCGGAAACCCTATGGAACAGTTCTACTCTGTTGGTACTCTCATGGGTTGCTATGAGTCAGAATCGACTCAATGGCGATGGGTTTGATTTTTTGGGGACTGATGTCCAGACAATTGGGAGAAGGCCCTCTTGTCTCCAAGCCATCCTTGTTCAAACCTGCAACCTTCCCTTAAAGCCTGGCTCTCTGCTTCCATGCCAAGAGGAGAACACAGAAACCTTTGCTGAGGCTGAAGAAAGCCTTGTCCCCTAGGGTGTAGTCATCCTTTCTGAAGTCATGCCACCTTCCTGGAAAAGGGCGAATCTTGAGGTGGGGCCGAGCTCACCACTAATCGCAGGACTTGCAAATCTTCCAGTTTCTCTCTTCCTATTCTCAGTATAATTCTCTTCTCTTCTGGCCTCCAAAGCACACATCTGCACAATCTTTTTAGCGAGCTTAGGCTTTTATAATAGACAACAAGAGTGGGTGACTTCCTTCTAGGAGCTTCAGCTTTCCAGCCTGCAAAAACTTCCCCAGACAAAGATTTAATGAGAACCTGGTGATCTGACTGAAATGGGGAAGGGTGAAAATATAGGAATAAATAAATTAATGCTGTATTTAAAACAATTGCCCAGTCATGTATTTGTTGAATGACCAGGGCCAAGTTCAAATGGGGTCCCATAATTGGTGATTCTGGGCAGCTAAGAGGCATCATTAGGATACCAAAATCAAACCAGACCCACGGCTGTGGAGTCGATTCCAACTCTTAGCGACCCTGTAGTACAGAGTAGAACTGCCCCACAGGGTTTCCAAGGCTGTAATCTTTATGGAAGCAGACTGCCACATCTTTCTCCTGCAGAATGGCTAAAGGATGAACCGCCGACCTTTTGGTTGGCAGCTGAGCACTTAACCACTGTGCCATCAGGGCTCCCTATATCATTAGGATAAACCCGTTCCTGTTGAGTTGATTCTGACTCACAGCAACCCTGTAGGACAGAGTAGAACTGCCCCATAGGGTTTCCAAGGAGTGGCTGGTAGATTCGAACTGCTGACTTTTGGTTAGCAGCTGAGCTCTTAACCACTGTGCCACCAGGGCTCCATCATTAGGATACTAGACATTAATGTCCAAGGGGATATGAAGAGAAAGGGTGGTTGTAAGGAAACATGGGGAAACAGTGAAGACAAACTTTATCTGTCTCATAATACAATACCATTTCATGTATCTGGAAAGGAAGTAAAATAAAGAATATGCCAGTATCAGAAGACTTCCTGAATTTTGTAGAGGAGGGAAAAACTTCTAGAGAGAAGCTCTCAAATTGAAAGCAAGGCTTATGAATTGCAATACTGCCTTTTGGTATCTAAGCAATGTGTTACTAAGGAATGTAATCCACGGAAGAGTTAGTATTAAAAATCTTAGCATTATTAAGAATTACAATGGGGATGGGGCAGGGGTGCAAGAGGGGCATCAAAATAAGCCCCGGTGATTTATCATTGGTATGGCCTAAAAGTTTATTTTGGGAATTTGAAGAAGTTGTATTCAATTACTTATTCCCAAATACTTAAGAGTCCACTATAGGTGAGGTATCCCTTGTAGAGCAAATGGTTAACACGCTTACCTGATAACCAAAAGGTTGGAGGTTGGAGTCTACCCAGAGGCACTTCAGAAGAAAGGCCTGCGATCTACTTCTGAAAAAATCAGCCATTGAAAACCCTATAGAGGACAGTTCTACTCTGACACATAAGGGGTCCCCATGAGTTGGAGTTGACTCCACAGCTACTGGTATGTGTAAGGTACTTGGGATACTGAAGTGATCAAGTTAAATAGGCTCTTTGCTCAAATAGAGCTTACATTCAGGTGTATTTTAACTCTGAATTGTGCATCTAGGAACACCACACATTGAATAAAGCAGTGATTCTTCACAAGCAGTAGCAAAAACCAGTACTTTTTTCTATGCTTGGATGGTGGGTCTTCTCCGTTGTTGGGTGGAGGTGTGCGAATAGATTTCCTCCCCTAAAATATACACATACTCGGTGTTCTGGTTGGCAGTTTAAGATTGCAACTCCGAATTACCTCTAAGTCATCAAACTAGCCCCTCCTAAGAAGCAAATAGGAGTACAGGAGAAAAATTACCCTTATCAGAGCCCTCAGAAGCTGTGGCAACCCCTCGGCTGGCTCTGGAAAGCCATGGACTACAACTCCCACAAGGCCCCGCGATCCCCTTCCATCAGTCAGTTTCGATTTATGGGAAAGGGCGGGAGTGTGGGTGAATGTTGTTCGCGCTCTTTGTTTCGTCATCAACGTGCGCCTCCAAGATTAAGCGAGGACTAGGCCACGAAAGTATGGCGGCTACGGAGGCAGCGATGGCGTCGTCGTCTTTGTCTTTGGAAACAGACCCAGCCCCAGTCTTAGAAAGTGCAGGAACAGCCGCAGCAACGGCCGCGGTCTCCCCAGCAACGGCTGCAGGCGCGACAGCTGAGGCTCCGGCTGAGACCGCAGCCGCGACGGCTTCGGCTGAGGCCGCGACTGAGACTGCGACGGCCGAAGCTGCGGCTGAGCCTGCGGCCCCTAAGGCTGAGGTTGAGGCTGAGGCGGCCGCTTCGGCGGAGGCTGCGACTGAGACTGGGGCCGCTTCGGCTGAGGTCGCGAATGAGACTGCGGCCGTTTCGGCGGAGGCTGCGACTGAGACTGAGGCCGCGGCTGAGACTGAGGCCGCGACGGCTGTGACCGAGGCTGCGGCTGAGGCTCAGCCTGCGACCGAGGCTGCGGCTGAGACTGAGGCCCCGACTGGATCGGAAGCGGGTGACGCCAAGTCCGCTATGGCTAATAAGCTGCTGTCCCTAAACGGCGTGTTCGCTGTGCACAAGCCCAAAGGGCCCACTTCAGCTGAGCTGCTGAATCGGCTAAAGGAGAAGCTGCTGGCAGGTACTGAAGCCTGGGTGGGGACCAGGCCGAGGCGTCGCCGCGAAGGGAAGGCCGCAGAGAGCACATGGGCTTTCTGCGACGCTCGTGGCTCAAGAGCTAAAAGGAAGGGAAAGGGAGAACGACCACTGACTTAACTATGGACAGAAACCTGGGGCATCTCGGGCTTGGACTTGGCCTGAGGTGAACTCCTGTAGCCTAGATGGCAGTTGTCGCTCTCTAGGGGGAAAAAAAACCGAAACTCAACAAGCCACCGTCTTTGTGCGTGCCTACCAGTTTTCTGTAATCTGATCTCTCAGGAGTCTTTTGTTTGGTGCACGTGTAGGAACCCCACAGAAAGGAAGTACTGATTGTGTGTTCCCAGAGTTGCATTCTTAAAAATATATTGGAGATGCAGATATTAACGGAGTTAGCCAAGACTTAATGAAGTGGTTTTCACATTTTAGTGGGCATAATTACTTGGGAGTCCCTTGTAAAAATGCAGATTACTAATCTCCACCTCTCAGAGATTTTTGATTCTGGGAATCTAGGATCTTTTTAGGAAACTGCATTTTTAAACAGTTGCCCCAGGTGACTCTGGTGTTAAGTGGTTGGTGGACCACAATTTGAGGAACACTACAACTTCTCCAAGAGCCTTTTTTTTTTTTTTTCTTCATATACACTGGGAGAAAACTAGAAAAACCTAAAGGGTCAGACAGTTCATCGGCCTGGTAGATCATTTCACACAGTGGCATCAAGGAACCTTAGGTTTATTGAACACCTGCAGTAAGACAGGCCTGTACTAATCTATGAAGATAGGAAGGTGAAAGATACTGTCCTTTTGCTTAATTGAGCTCATAGCCCAGTAATTTCTGCAGCCTTTGGTGATAGAACTCTTTAACTAGGTATTCAAGGCTTTCCAGCTCTTGGTCCTCTTCTGCCTTCCCATTTAATCAGTACAGGAACTTTCTTGTTTGCGTTGTCCCCTGGCAAACTTTCCTTTTTGAAATGCAAAACTAGGTAATTACCCTGATAAAAACCAAACCTGTTGCCTGTTAAGTGGATTCTGACTCATGGCGATTCCATGTGCTTTAGAGTTGCTTCAGAGTAGAACTATGCTCCACAGGTTTTCTTGGCTGGGGCAAAAGGTTAAGCACTCCACGGGTAGCCGAAAGGTTGGGCGTTCGAACCCACCCAGAGGCCTCTCGGAATTCAGGCCTGATGAGCTGCTTCCAAAAGGTCACAGCCTTAAAACCGGATGGAGCAGTTCTGCCCTGCACACACGCGGTCCGCTGTGAGGTTGCCATGAGTCAGAATCAATTCAGTGGCAGTTTAAAACAACGTGGTTGTCTTTAGTGCACCAGACTTAAGATTGCTACAGAAGTGGGCTGCTGCTACTTTGTGCAAGGATATTTACCCGTTTTTTTTAAGTTTTTTTTTTTTCTTAGAAAGTGAATTCCAGTTTCTAGACAACTAGTTTTGGGATACCATTCCTCTGTTAATATTATAGCTTAATATGTTTAATTTGTATTTTCCGTTTTGAATAATCCGCCTGCCTTCCCTTTATGTTTCTGGAGATTCTACTTATTTGTCTTGGTAATTAACTTTTTTTGTTCTGATTACTCTAATAGAAGCTGGAATGCCTCTTCCAAAATGCAACAAGAGGAAAAAGCAAACTTTCAAAATCGGGCATGGAGGAACTCTAGACAGTGCAGCCAAAGGAGTTCTGGGTAAGAGATATGAATGAAAGTTTTCTCTGACTGCCACTTAATATTAGAAAGATATTGAAAACAGATAAGATTGGTTAAAGCCATTCCATTTTCAGTCTACTTTGAACTATTTCGCACCTACTGGATTTATATGGCCATCTTGTATAGAAGCTTTTCAATAGTACAAGGTATACAAGTCTATTAGAAATAACTATTTTTATATGTGAGTAGGGCTTTGAGAAAGGGTTTGTATGTGTATGGAAAAGAATTAACGTAGCAGGCCTGAGATTGCTATCTTTAGAAAGACCAGCTTGTAAGATTGGCCCGTGACTGGCATGTAGGAACTTGGATTTTGGAAGTGTTCTCACTCCCGTCTAACTGATAACATGGGTCTACGGTGCCTAGAATGTGCAAACAACGTGGTTTATGTTGAACACTTGCTTTCCTTCTAGGAGTCTGGAATTTTTTCCACCAACACAAGCGGAGGGTACTTGTGTGACCAGCCCCAAATAAAAACCTTCGGTGCTGAGTTTCTAGTGGGCTTTCCTGGGCAGAAACATTGCATACCTGTTACTGCATTTTTCGTTGCTGGCGAAAGGCGTGTGTTCAAGTGTGACCCCTCATAGGAAGGAGAGAGCATAAGGAAGCCTGTCCATGGATTTCTTCACTGTGCCTGTGCCTTTTTCCCATATAATCCAGTTTTGTATCCTTAGCACATCACTGTAATAAATCTTAGCCATGAGCACAGCTGTATGCTGAGTGAATCTTCAAATGTGAGGGTGGTTTTAGGGATCCCCAACACAAGATGCAGCTCTTTTTTATACGTATATCTAATCTCTTGAGATAGCTGTTTTTCTTTAGAAGGTGAACCTTATAGTTCCTGAGAGGAAGTCACTTTCCCTTGGAGATACGTTGAACAATTTATTGCTTGTGGAAGAAAATTGGTAGAATTGATGAGGGGAGAAAAATCACTGATGCTTCTTCCGTCCATCTTTTTTTTTAAACATCTGGCAGAGGCTCTGAAGTATATCTTTTTGACTGCTAAAGAATGTACGCACGTGCTGTTGTTAAGTGCTACTGAGTTGGTTCTGACTCATAGCGACCCTATATACAACAGAATGAAACACTGCCTGGGCCTGTACAATCCTAACTGTTGTTGCTGTGTTTGAGCCCATTATTGCAGTGACTGTGTCAGTCCATCTTGTTTAGGGTCTTCCTCTTTTTTGCTGACCCTCTCCTTTACCAGGCCTGATGTCCTTCTCCAGGGACTGGTCCCTCCTAATAACATGTCCAAATACATATGATGAAGTCTTGTCATCCTCACTTCTAAGGAGCATTGTGGCTGTACTTCTTCCAAGACAGATTTGTTCGTTCTTCTGACAGTCCATGTTATATTCAGTATTCTTTGCCAACACCAGGATTCAGAGGCATCAGTTCTTCTGCCGTCTTCCTTATTCATTATCTAGCTTTCATATGGTACGAGGCAGTTGAAAATACCATGGCTTGGGTCAGGCAAACCTTAGTCCTCAAGGTGACATCTTTGCTTTTTAACACTTTAAAGAGGTCTTTTGCAGCAGGTTTTCTCAGTGCAATGCGTCATTTGATTTCTTGACTGCTGCTTCCATGGGCATTGATTGTGGATCCAAGTAAAATGAAATCCTTTATAACTTCATTCAGTCTTTTCTTCATTTAGCACGATGTTGCTTATTGGTCCAGTTGTGAGGGGTTTTGTTTTATGTTGAGGTGTAATCCATACTGAAGCCTGTACTAAAAAATGAAAAAAAAATTAAACCTGTTGCCGTCGAGTTGATTCCGACTCATAACGACCCTGTAGGACAGGGTCGAACTGCCCCATAGGGTTTCCAGGGAGCAGCTGGTGGATTTGAACTGCCAGCCTTTTGGTTAGCAGCCGAGCTCTTAACTACAGTGCCACCAGGGCTTCAAGTCCTCTTTGCTTTCAGCCGGCAAGGTTGTGTCATCTGCATATCAAAGGTTGTTAATAAGTCTTCCCAAATCCTGTTGCTATGTTCTTCATACAGTCCAGCTTCTCAGATGTTTTGGTCAGCATACAGATGGAATAAGTATGGCGAAAGGGTATAACTCTGACGCACTCCTTTCCTAATTTTATCAATGCACCATCCCCTTGTTCTGTTTAAATGACTGCCTCTTGGTCTAAGTACAGGTTCCGCATGAGTGTTTTCCAAGCATTTTTTTGTAACTATGTCTGTAGTCACAGAGAAATAGGTGTGTTGGGATTCCTCCCAACTCACCCCCTCCAAACTAGAAACAAAATTTTATGGAACAGTACCTACGTTTTTACATGCAATGTAGTCTGAGTGTTTTATTTTTCAGTTTTTAAATAATATCGATCGTAACTCATTAAATTGATTTCATGATACACTAATGAATTGTGACTTGTGGTTTGTAAAATACTATACTACAGTATCCAGTCCATTTTTTAGAGCTAAAATTAGATGAAAACAAATACTAAACCATGACTTAAGTTAAGTAAAGCTGAGGAAAGAAATGAAAATTTTTTTAAAGAAAAGGATAAAATCGGTGAAGAAAATTGTTTTTCAAGAAAATCAGAAACAATGTATGATTTTTTTGTTTTCTAAAATTATAGATTGTAATTCATGTGGGCAAAAATATCTATAATTGTGGTTAACTAGAAATATTTTAAGTTTATTAGATTCAATGCCCTTGATCCACGGTAAACTCACTGAATAGTAGCAGTTATAAATATTGATGGAAATTCCTTCAGCTTGCCAGTCATTTCTCCTTGTTTCTTCTGGTGATTCTGAATTGTGATGGTTATATTGTATTTTTTTCTTATGCACAACTGTATCCATTGATGGTAAATACTTCAGTGTTTATAAAAATTTGCCTGCTGTTAAGTGAAGAAGTGATTAAATCCTCTCAGCCTAACCTGATGGAAGATATTGAAGGCTAACTAATCTTTGAAATTGGAGAGACAAGTGGGCCATTGTACTTTATACTTGGTTTATCTTAGCATACATTCTCGAAGCTTTCATTTTTTCTTACATTATTCTTTGTATTAGGTTGATTTGTTATGTTTCTGTTTTCTTGATTGTAATCATCTTTAAATGGTTCATTAGCTGTGATGATGGGTTTTGCTTTGTTTAATAATGAACTCTCAAAAAACCTTCATCCTGTCAGACACTACAGCATGGTTAATTGTGCCATATATTTTTCAGTGATGCATATATAAAATTTCAGTGAGTCTTTTGAGATTGTTCTAAAAATTTTCATTGTCTCATTGGCTGGGTTGAGGTTTCTGCCATGTTTAGTACATTGAGAATGGAAAATTGTGTATCTCTTCTCCCCGACCCTCCCTTTCCAGATTTCTTAGTTGCATGTCAGGTTCAACTGATTGCGGTAATAGGAGTCCTCAGATTATGTTAAACATACGTTCTTTCCAGCTTCACATTGTGTATGCCAGGAAATTATGATTTTAAAAGTATAGATATTTTTAAAACGGTTTACAAAATAGAGTGTCATAAATATTTCTTTCTTTGATTTGTAGTGGTTGGAGTTGGAAGAGGAACAAAAATGTTGACCAGTATGCTGTCAGGGACCAAGGTAAGAGTACTAGAATAGTTTTTTGTTTTGTTTTGTTTTTTAATGTTTTTCTTAATTTTTTAAAAATGTTTTTCTTAATGACTTATGGGTTGGATTTTAAGTCAGTTGAAAAATAAACTGTGTTTGTTGCATGAACATGTGTCATTATTCCTGAGTATTAATTACAGTGTTTATAATTCTGATATGAGATTCAAAATATTAAGACTATAAATTAGAGATTCTTAATTGAAAAACAAATTAGACTCTTAGAAGCAAAAATTCTACAGTGCCCACAATTAAATATGTATATATTTAGATTTTTTTCATGTAATTATATTTCTTAGATGGAAAGGCATTTAAAGATCATTAATTCTATTGGTAGATTTTTTAAAACTTTGGAATTCTTACAGCAACAATACCATTTTGTAAACCATGCACTTTTCAGCAAAAAACAGGATTTGTTGAATGGTTGTTGTTGGCTACAGTTGAGCCGGCCCCATAGGGTTTTCATTGGCTGACTTTTGGAAGTAGGTTGCCAGGCCCTTCTTCCTAACCTGTCTTTGTCTAAAAGCTCTTCTGAAACCCATTCAGCGTCACACAAGCCTCCACTGACAGACAAGCGGTGGCTGGGCTTGAGGTGCGTTGGCCTGGAATCAAACCTGGGTCTCCTGCGTGGAAAGTGAGAGTTCTACCTGAACTACCACTGGTCACTGTTGAGTGGCTAAAAAATGTTTATTAAAGAAAAGAGTGGGGCTTTGTTATATTGACTAAATTAAAAAAATCCCTTTTTAAGGCATTTGATAGGAGAGAGAGGAGGGGTTATGCAGAGGCAGGAGAAACAGTAAACCTGTGGACTGCTGCTGGTATTCAGTGAGTTACCCTCAGCATGTTGGAAGGAGCATTGAAATAGAAGTCAAGATGTCCAAGTAGTCAACCTCTCTGGGCCTCTCAGTTTTTCCTTAGGAAAAATTATTTGATCACTTCTTGGGTCTTTTCCAGCTCCAAAAGGATAATGATATCTGTGTTCTAATTAGCAACTAGGTGCTGATTATAATAGCTAGAGTTAGGAGCGATGAAAATGCTTGTGGAAGAAAAGTTACTATGCCAACAGGTAGAGAAGAATTTCAACAAGTTCCCGAACTAAACTTTTTATTTTTAAAACCCTTGCTGTAAATGGAATATAAATAGTTGGTAAAGTGATCAGATTTTATCTAAGTTGTTTCTTCTACAGAAATTTTGGTAAGAGACCATTTTTAAAAATTTCCAATTTATTGATGACTTTTATAAAATACAATTGTTATACAATGCCAAGTTGCTAGATAAGTTTCTAAACACCCTCTTTTTTTTTTTTTAATTTATCTTGTCATGAACTGGTACTGGCCTGTGGACCCCACTGTGAGTGGCAGTGATCTAAGTAAGCTTTTCTGAAAAAGCACCGGAGAGCATAGTGCCTGTGACGTCTCCATTTTAGTTGTCTGTCCATTGGCATGAAAACCTGTGTCTTTCAGTTGGAAGGGAGCTAAGTGCCTTAGATAAATGAAAAACAATTTAACCTGGCTTACTTGGAATCTTTAAAATGTTGGCGATGAAAAAAAAACCAAAATACAGAAATTTTGTTAAAATGGAGGGGTTTGACTGTTATACAGTGGATTTGTACATTGTGCTTAAGTACAGTGTTTAGAATCTCTTTCTGATGTAAATTTTTACAGGTTGCTTAATAGTTGTTTGTTAACTCCAAAATATAAACAGTGGTTACTTTGCTATGGGATTATGGATGGTTTTAATTTTGCTCATAGTATCTGCTGTTTTTCCGAATCTTTGTAATTAACTAGTCACTTTTATTATAAAATGTTGAGTTCATTGGAATATTCATCCTACACTTTCCCCGTAAAACTACACACACACACACACACACACAAAAAAAAAAAAAAAAACAATATGTTATTTAAAAGTTTTATTTCCAGAAATATGACGACTGAAATGTAAATACATCATTGGCTTTGATTTCAGTTTTGTTTGTCACAAACTGTTTTGGTATCCAGCTAAGAAAGCTGAATGTCATACCGTGTTCCTCGGATGACTCTATAAAATAAATAGAAAATCCCAGGTGCATCTTATTACAGAAACCTAGTTCGTGTGTGCTTCACATTTCAAAAATGGATGTTATTGTCTTGTTAGCTGTTTGTATTTCTCACACTTTTAATTTTAGATTATGTATTTGTTGAAAGAATTAAATCATTTAGGTTTTACCTTTAAGTATGTTGACGATTAAGTTTTTAACAAAAGTAGTTAAAAAGTGTTGGTGGATATTTTTTATAGGTTTTGTTTTTAGCACTGGAAGGAATCTTAGACTTGAATGAGCATTGCATGCTTGGAAAGCTTGTTAAGGTTCCTGGGAACAATTTATTACGTAGCACCACTAACACTACCATTTGCTGTCCAGTTGATTCTGACTCTTGGCGACCCCATGTATACAGAGTAGAATTGCTCCATAGAGTTTTCATGGCTGTGACCTTTCAGAAGCAGATTGCCAGGCCTTTCTTCTGAGGCGAGGCGCTTCTGGGTTGGTTTGAACATTCAAGACACAGTTATGTGAGATTGCATTGTGTTTTTCTGATGCAACTAGACAGGCTATTAAGGCAAAAATCTGAGAGCAATTTGTTGCATTACTGTTCTTTATGGGAACTCAGTGTAACCAGATGAGTCACTATAACCCCTGTTCTATGAATTCTTCTTTTTTTTTTTTTTTTAAATAACAGTAATGATAATAGTATTGTTACCGTTACTTACTAGGACCAGGCACTGTTTTAAACTTTTGTTCTTCTCATGAGGTGCTGTTATTATCTCCATTTTAAAATAAGAAAATGAGGCTCTTATAGGGAAGATCAACTTAACCTCCTTTTCAGCTGTGGTGGCGTCAGGATTCAAACCCAGCCAGTTGGAGTCTCAGCCTGTGCCTTTCCCACTCACTCTGCTAGCCTTCCCCCGCGTATGCTTAAATGCTTAGTCAAGGTGGACTGTTCCGAAATACAGGAGCAGGAGTGGGCGTCTCACACGATGAGACTGAAAGTTTAGTTAACTGGAAACTGACTTTTGTGAATACTAACGAAATAAAAAAATGAATTCAAATGCCTCAAAACATTTTTTCCTGTATTGTATTTGTAAAAAAAGTAATTCTGCACTATGTAAATTTGTAAGGGATTTCATCAAAGGGTACTTCGGATGATATAAAATGCCTACATGTTTATGGGAATTCGAAGTTCTAATGTTTTTCTCATTTTTGCCTCTAGTCCCTTCACTAGCACAGTGAGCTTGTCATTAGTGAACTTATATTTCTGCAAAGTACTTTGAACTTCCTCTTGCAAAAATGCTCACATAAATACAGATTATTTTCAGTAGGACCTAGATTCTTTTTTTCTAACTACTGCATGAGATAACCACTTGCTGCTGAGTCAATTCCGACTAATAGCCCCCCTATAGGACAGAGTAGAATGCCCCATAAGTTTCCTAGGCTGTAATCTGTATGGAAGCAGACTGCCACTCTTTCTTTTGTGGAGCAGCTGGTGGGTTCGAACCATCAGCCTTTTTAGTTAGCAGCTGAGCACTTAACCACTGCGTTACCAGACCTCCTACTTTATGCAGTATACCAAATAAATTTGAATTTGACCAAAAGTGAGTAGTGAAAAAAATACGTACTATAGATTGGCCCTGAGATGAGAAGTAAGACATTCCTGAGATGACTAAGAATGAAATAATTCTTCACATGTGAATAATGGTCAGTTCTTAGAAGTGACTTTTTTCCTTTGAGAGAGTTGAAGAAGCATCAGTTTCTCTTTATTAAGGAAACAATAATCAAGTGCGTTACCTTTGCTATACTAGTTTTGCTCATTTTCTACATAGTTTGTTCACATACATGATCTAGTAGTTACTAAGATTTGTGTTATTCCATATAAGAAATTGTAAATTGATGTACATAATCATATATGGCAAAATTGTTGAACCTAGTGATAGCTGTGTAGAGGTTTATTATATCATTTTGTTTACTTAGGTATATTGGAGAATTTTCATTAAACAAAACTGCCCAGTATAAAACTGGTTTTAAAAAATTTGTTTAAAATAACAGCATTTATAAGCCATACTTTTCAATAAAGTCAGATATTTCTTTCATGTTGGATAGTGTGGGCAGTTTCTGAATGTGCCTCTCTTTGCACAAATACTTCCTGCCTGTCAATAACAAACAATTGCTGTCTCTTATTTTTGCCTTTGTTTTGTATCATTGGTTGTGTACTAGGAAAATTCTGTATAAATTTCAAGATATGCATAACTATTTTTCTTTACCTTCTGGCCTAATTTTCTTGTTTGTTTTCCTTTAGAGGTACATTGCCACTGGAGAGCTGGGAAAAGCTACTGATACGCTGGATTCTACAGGGAAAGTAACAGAAGAAAAACCTTATGGTATGAAGTCCCCCTGATGTAGTCTTCTTTTTAACATTTTAAAGAGAGTTTCTGTGAATTCAGAATTTGAAAATAAATCTCTTTATCTGATATTATCAGTGATTTTAGGCTTCAGTACATTTCTTTAGGTTAAGAAGATTGGAAATTATCACATTGTTTGGTATGAGTTTATTTAATTAATTTAGTTATTTTTGTGGTAAAATATATAATATAAAATTTGCCATTTTGATAATTTCTACATGTACAATTAAGTGGCATTAATTACATTCAATATTGTGCAACCATTACCACCATTTCCAAAACCCTTTTATCACCCCAAACAAAAACTCTGTACCAATTAAGCAATAACTCCCCACTCCCTCCTGCCTTTAGCCCCTAGTAAACTCTAATCTCCTTTCTATTTCAATGAATTTACCTATTCTAGATATTTTACCTAGGTGGAATCTTATAATATTCTTTCGTTCTGGTTTATTTCATGTAGCATATTTTCAGGGATCATCAACACTGTAACGTGTATCTGGACTTCATTCCTTTTAATGGCTGGGTACTATTCCATTATATGTATATACCACATTTTGTTTATCCATTCACCTGTTGATGGACGTTTGGGTTGTTTCTGCCTTTTGGCTATGGTGAATAATGCTGCCATGAACATTCCCGTGGAAATACCTGTTTGAGTCTCTGTTATCAAGTCTCTTGGGTATATACCTAGGAGTGGAGTTGCTGGATCATTTGCTAGCTTCTGTGTTTTACCTTTTGAGGAACCACCAAAGTACTTGCCACAGCACCTGCACCATCTTACAGTCCTACCAGCAGTGGGTTTCAGTTCCTCCACATGCGTGTCAATACTTGTTATTTTCCTTTCTTAAAAAAATTTTTGAATTATGGCCATCCTGATGGGTATGAAGTAGTATCTCATTGTAGTTTTGATTTGCATTTTTCTAATGACTGATGATGTCAATCATCTTTTCATGTGCTTATTGGCCATTTGTGTATCTTTGGGAAAATGTCTATTGAAGTCCTTTGCCTATTTTTAATAGGAGCCACGGTCGCACAGTGGTTAAGTGCTGGGCTGCTAACTAAAAGATTTGCAGTTTGAACTCATCAGCCTTTTCATGAGAGAAAGATGTGGCAGTCTGCTTTCATAAAGATTTACAGCCTTAGACACCCTATGGGCAGTCCTACTCTGTCCTGCAGAGTTGCTGTGAGTTGGAATTGACTTGACCTCAGTGGGTTTGGCACATTTTTAAATTGGATTGCTTGTCTTTTTGTTGTTGAGTTTTAAGAGTTCTTTATATATCCTGGATGGTAAGCCCTTATCAGACATATATTTGCAAGTATTTTCTCCCATTCCGGGGATTGTCTTTTTCACACTCTTGATAGTATTCTTTGGTGCACATAAGTTTTGATGAAGTCCAGTTTATCTAATTTTTCTTTTGTTGCCTGAGCTTTTGGTGTCATATTTAAGAAACCATTTTCAAATCCAAGATAAAGAAAAATTTCCCCTATGTTTTCTTCTAAGAATTTTATAGTTTTAGCTCTTAAATCTGGGTCTTTGATCCATTTTGAGTTAATTTTTTTATATGATGTAAGGTAGTCCTGCCTCATTATTTTGCCTGTGGATATTCCGTTTTCTCAGCACCATATGTTGAAGAGATGGTAGGAGTTTATTAATAAAGATTTATAATTGCATATTTCCTATAAAATCAGTTTTTTAAATGTTCAGAATTATCTTTCCGAATGACACCCTTGCCAAAAAAGCATTTAAAGCTAGGATTTCGGATATTTTTTCTAGTAAATGAGAAAAGAAGCAGAGATAGTCTCTTGTTAGATTTTACCTGTATCTGGCCATTGCTTTTTTTTCACAGTTACTTCTCAGCAGTTGAAATAAATGCCAGGTTTAGCACTTGTAAGACTGATAGTGTCACTGTGCTTTTGGAGTTTACCGAAAGCTAAGACAGTGGGAAAGCTGTTTGCCTGGAAGTAAAGCAGAACTCACGGGGCCCACCTTCTACCAGTCCTACTTTCACTACTTTAAGATAAATGAAATGGTCTCCCAGCAACTCTCACAGTACATATACTGTTTATCATGCAGCAGTTACAGTTTTGTACAGTCAGTTCACCTGCATTATCATCTCACCAATTTTGAATTATTTGTAGGCTTTCTGGTTTTTCCCCTGTGATTAAAGTTAACTCTTTTTATTTTAGTTTTCGGTAGTCCAGTACCTGGCCTCCCTATGTATTTGTGTTGAGTGGCCTCTTGTATTTTACGTATTGCCCTATAATAGTGAGATCACCCTGTTCTTGTTCGTAATAGCTTCACTTCGCCTGTTAATATTTATACGTTAGCTAAGCATTTTGCTTGATTAATCAAGCAACATAATGAAAAAAATAATTCACTGATTTATTTCAAGTCTTCTAGCAAGCTGAAGAGTTGAATTCGGTCTCATATTGTATTTTAACAAATAGGGCATACATTATAGCAGGGCCAGTATAGCTGGGTATCAATCTTATGGTGTTTGTTTGTATGTAGACTTTTTTATTATAAAGTATTACATAAAGAAAAATGACCAGAACATAAATTGACAGCTCAATGAGTTATCACAAAGCAAACATTGCTGCAGCTACCACCCTAATCAAGAAAAAAGATTCCCAGAAACCCCTCACAATCCCCATCCCGATCACTACTTCATCCCTCCTTACCAAACATAACTTCCACTGTGATTTCTAACACTGTGGTTATAGTTCCAAAACTATCATATAGTTTTGCAACTTTACATAGATGGCATCAAACAGTATATATCCTTTTAAGTCTAGTTTCTTTTACTTTCTGTGTTTATGAGATTCATCCTTGTGTGTTGCTGTGTAGTATACCATAATTTATTTTCTGTTCGACTCTTGATGGGCAAATAATGCTGCTCTGAATACTTAAAAACAATTTTTTTTAAGAATAGATGGTTTTCACCTCATTGATTTTTCTTTCTTTTTTATTGTGGTTAAGATACTGAACATTTCTATCACTCCAAAAGATTCCTTGTGCCTTTTCTAAGACAGTCACCACCCCTCCACTCCCATAACTGTTCTGCCTTCTGTCATCGTAGATTGGTTTTGCATGTTCTTGAACTTCATATTAATGGTTTTGTACAGCACACGTTCTTACGTCTTCCTTTCACTCAGTGTGTTTTTGAGATTCATCCATGTTGTTGTATGTATCAATATTGTAGACTTTCTTATTGCTGTGTAGTATGCCATTGTGTGAACATACCACTCCACACACACACAAACTCTTTCTCTCTTCCGTTGATAGACATTTGGGTTTTCCCATTTAGGGTTTTATGAATAAAACTGCTATGTAGATTTTGTACCTGACTTTTGGTTCAGACGTGCACTGATTTCTCTTGGCTATATAACCAAGTTGAATTTCTGGGTCATAGGATGGGTCTTTATTTAGCTTTACTGGAAATTGCCAAACAGTTTAACTGTTAACATGTATAACTTTGCATTTCCACCAGCACTGTATAAGAGTTCCCCTTGCCTCATATCTTTTGGCTATTCTGGTGAGTGTGTAGTGGTTATTTCACTGTGGTTTTAAGTTGATTACTAATGAGAGTCAGCACTTTTTCATATGTGTTTTGGCCCCTTGGCCATCTCCTTTTGTATATTGTCTGTTCACGTCTCTTGCTTGTTTTTTTCTGTTGAGTTGCCTTTTTCTTATTGATTTGTATGAGTTATTTATACACTAAGAAAATGTGCTCTTTTTTTGATTATATTTATTGCACGTATTGTCTCCTACTATGTGACTTGCCTTTTCCCTCTCTTATTTGTGTCCTTTGCAAAACAGAAGTTCTTAGATTCAATTTAATCTAGTTGATCAAGTCTTTTTCTCAATGGTTAGTCTTTTGTGCCCTGTTTAAGAAAACTTTTCCTACCCCAAAGCCATGAAGATATTTTACTATATTATAGAAGCTTTATTGCTTTGTCTTTTCACATTGCAAGTATAATCAGCCTGGATTGTAACATTCTGTTTTTTTCCTATGTGGCTATCCAGTTGACCCAGCACTTTTTCCCGTTGGCTCTGCATTGCCTCCATTGTCACAAATTAAGCACCATACATACATGGATTTGTTTTGAGTCTGTTTGTAAGATTGGTCTGTTTGTCTGTCCTTGTACTAGCATCAGACTGTCTTAATTGCTGTAGCTTTAATGCCTGGAAGAACAAATCTTCCCACCTTATTTCTTACAGACTTTTGCCGTAGGTTTTTGTTTGTTGTTGTTTAATAGCCCTCTCTCAGAGTAAGGAAGTTGCCTTCTGTTCCTAATTTGCTGAGTTGTTTTTTTTTTTTTTTGTAATCCTGAATGAACATAGACGTTTTCTGCATCTGTTAATTTTTTTCTCCTTATTCAAATGTTAAACTAACTTTACTTTTCTGGAATAAACCCATCTTGGTCATGATGGATTGTCTTTTTTATATAAATTGTATTTGATTTGCTAATATTAGTTTAGGATATTTGCATATGTTCATGAGTGAAATTACCCTGTATTTTTCCTTTTTCTGAATGTTTTTGTTATTAAGGTTATGCTGACCTTGTAAAGTAGATTGAGGAAGTGTTTTCTTTTATTCTCTGAAAGAGTTTATGTCAACATTGTTTCTTTTTTAATGTTTGATAGAATCACTGATAAAGACATGTAGATCTGGAGTTTTCTTTGTTAGGAAGGTTTTAAATTATAGATTGGATTTTGTCACTAGTGTCAAACATTTTTTTTTATTTCTGGTGTCATTCTAGATAATTTTCCCCGCTCGCCCCTCCTGCCGAATTTGTATGTTTCATCTAAATTTTCAAACTCATTGGAATAAAGTTTATAATATCCCCATATGATCTTACTCTTTGTTTTGAAATAATATCAAACTCTCAGAAAAATTGCAGGAATAGAGCAGAATAACTTTTCCAGAGCCACCCAAGAGCAAGATGTAGCTCCACCACCCCCAGTACCAAAGTGTGCATCTTCCGTAGTAAAGCACTCCTACATAACCACAGTACAACCATCAGATCAGGAAATTAGCATCAATACATTCCTGTAATCCAGTTCAGAGACCCCCATTTATTTCTTAGAAACGACTTTTCTTGAGGTATGAGTGACGTACAAAAAACCGTACATATTTAAAGTATACAATTTGGTAAGTTTTGGCATTGGTATTCACCCATGAAGCCATCACCACGATAAAGATAGCATATTTATCGCCTACAAGCTTCCTCATTGCCCTTTGTAATCACTCCCTTTATGGTCCATTTAGAGTTAATGTTTGTATGTGGTGTGAAGTATGAATCTGAGTTCATTTATTTGCATATGCATATCAAATTGTGTTAGCACCATTTGTTGAAAACCTATCCTCTTCTCCACTTGGCTTTGCACGTATGTGGAAAAACCATTGTCAGTATATGCAGATGTTTGTTTCTGGAGCTCTTTTTCTGTGTAATTCCCTCAAATTCTTGGCTATTGCTGCTAATCCAAATTCTGATCTCACTTTCCTAAATTCAACAGATCACTGTGCTTTGAGATTCATCCTCCTCCCTGTACCACAATTCAGAAAGTGCTTCCAGCGGAAAGCCAGTGTGATGATGGGGCTCACCTTGTTTCCCTTCTCTCAGGGATTAGAGTCCTAGCCTGTTGTCTAATGTCTAAAGCAGTTTGTTTAATATGTTTGGCCCAGTTTAAAAGCTGCTTATGGTGGTAGGGCTTGTCAGGTACCTGTTACTCTATCGTGTTTGAATATTGTTTTTAACTCCATACCATAGTGCAGTTAAGTACCGACTATTATGTTGTAGCTTCCCTGGATGAGTCAATACATTTTAAACAAATCATCATGTGTAACATGATCTTTTATATATTGGTTTCATGAGAAGGATTTTAAAAAATTAATTTCAAGTGAATGCTGTCACATTGATGGTTTATTAATTTACTAAACAAAGAGTAATTATTCCAAGTCCTGTGACACTTGTACCATAGCCGTCTTCTTTCATCAGTTGTTCGTCTTTTGGCTAGTTACTGGATAGCCTTAATCCTTTGGAGATAGATTCCCTATTCTTACAATCCTTTGTAGGGACATTGGTTATTATGTGGATGAGACTAATAGCATGTTTTAGATATGACCAGCATACTTCTCTACATACTCATGTACCACATCTCCCACCCAGAGTAATATCTTCGTTTTTTCCATTGAGATAAGATCCAGGTATCATAAAATTCACCATTTTAAAGTGTACAATTTATTGGTTTATAGTATATTTACAGTGTTGTGCAACATTACCATTATCTAATACCAGAACATTTTCATCATCCCAGAAAGAAACCCCATACGTGTTAAGAAGTCCCTCCCCAATCCTCCCTCCCTCCCTCAGCCCCTGCAACCCCTAATCTGTTTTCTGTCTCTCTAGATTTACCTATTCTGGACATTTCACATGAACGGAGTCGTACAGTATGTGGCCTTTTGCATCTGGCTTCTTTCACTTAGCATAATGTTTTCCAGGCTCATCCATGCTGTAACATTTTTATGGCTAAATAAGATTGCACTTTATGGCTATAGGAGCTTTGGTGACACAGTGGTTAAGAGCTCAGCTGCTAACCAAGAGGTCAGCAGTTCGAATCCACCAGCTGCTCCTTGGAAACCCAATAGGGCAGTTCCACTCTTCCCTGTAGGGTTGCTGTGAGTCGGACTTGACGGCAGTGCATTTGGGTTTGTTCGTTGTTTTTTTTTGTTTGTTTGTGTGGCTATACCGTTTAATCATGTGTAATATGTAAGAAGAAAAACTGTTTAAGGAGCTTAGAATTTCATTGGTGAGATAATAGCTATACTTATAATAGGTGATGATTAAAAATTATATACGATTACTTGGAATAAATAACAAACCATAAATGCCTGAGATGTTAAATCAGAGAAGGGAGACACCATGGCAGAAGTGGAATGGAAACCGAGCTGTGATAGATGGACAGTTTCTGGATAGGTGGAGGAGGAAAAAGAATGCGCACCGTCATCTTGTAAGAAGGAATATCAGTAAAATAGAGCCACCTGTGCAGGACAAAGGAGTACACGTCTGCAGCATAAAGACACCAGCCTAGCAGAAGTAGAAAGCTGTTTTGTCTTGTTTTTAAGATGTGTGACTGGTTAAATTACGAGCTATTTCAATTTTGTCAACTATAGCATTTTCAACAATTCTTCAGTACAGTGGTGGCATTGGCTGTCTAGATTTGACCATCTTAGGTTTGCATAACTAAAGGGCTGCCACCAGTAAGTATGTTTTAATGTTGCAATAGAGTAAGAATTTTTTTGTGGAAAAATCCTCATTTATGTCATGAGATACATCTGTTGGAGAAGCAGTGTGAACAGAACAGCCATGGGAGTGCGAGTTGCCTTTGTGAAGCCGCTAGGTGTTAGGAGCAATTCCTTTGAGTTCTGTAGCGCTTCTGTGTCTGTCTGAGGCCAGTAGATTTGGGTCTTTTGTTCATGCTTAGCTTATAAGGATGAAGGTCACACTGAGGTTAAGGCCGTCTCGCTGTGTTGATGTTCAAATCTGAGCTCAGTATTCCATGCTGGCTTTTTAATTTAAATTCTGGCATTAGAAAAGGACTTCAAAGCACATTAATTAGTTTTTGTTTAATATTGTTCACATAAATCAGATTTAACTTGTATATACCAGAATAAAAACTGTTTAAAACAAATTTCCCACGAAGTGAGGTAAAAAAGCAGCACTGTAATTTCTTTCCATTGACTGTGACTTAAAGAAGTTACAAGATCTTTCCATGATTTAGTTTATTATTGAATATCAAATATGCATAAGGATTCATATATAAGTAGGTATGAAAATTCCGGATAATTGAATGTTAGTGTGTTATTTCAATTTTTTAAATTATAGAACTGTAGTACAGCGTCTTTTCTTCGAAAGAGTATCAAACAGTAGTTGAAAACAAGATTAAGTGACAGATATTGAAAGCTTTATTTATATCTGTTCATTCGAATTTTATGAAATCACTTTAAAAAAAAGGCTTAGTAAGCATGCTAAAATCCTCGCTGTGTATATTCTGTTTTATGCTGGCCCATTTTTGAAGAAAAGTCAGAATCCTGACTGAGAGTGTTCATTTAAAAGAATAGATTCCAAGAGCAGAGAAGAGGGGGTTGCAGATAAATAAAACTTTACTTGAAGACAAAGTTGCATGTGAGTGTGTAAGATGTCTAACAGAATAGTTTTGAAAAATCTCAGGTAAAAATTAAAATGTGGTTAACACTTGATAATCTTCGATACCACATTACTGTGAGGTTATTTACAGTATTGGATGCCTGGAGAAATTTAGGAAAGAATTTATGGGTGTTAGTTTTCTTCATTTGATCACCTGATTATTGATCACTGCAGGCCCATTGCTATAGCTAGTGTGGCACGTTTCTCTGGTCTCCTGAAGTCCATAGTAAGAGCCACCTAAATGCATGTACGATGATTGGTTCGTTTTTATTGGGGGGAAAAATGAAGCAGAGGAAAGCTTGTCTTAGTGATGAATAAGGGAACACTTTTCTCCCCTTTGATCTCATCAATTTATGTTTTATTCATCTCAACAAGGTAGAATTTGGCCTATAAAACATACACTGTGGCACATACTTTGTTATAAAAATTTTTAATGAATTTTTCAGAATCATTGGTGGAGTGAAAATAGCATATGTGCTTCTGTGGTTGATTTAGTGTCATTTTTTTCTTCATTTTTGGCAGATAAAATAACACAAGAAGATATTGAAGGCATTCTACAGAAGTTTACTGGGAATATAATGCAAGTACCCCCCCTGTAAGTTCCATTATTGAATTTGAATAATTGGTGCAGTTAATGTGCTTAGCTACTAAACAAGAGGTTGGAGGTTCGAGTCTATCAAGAGGCACCTTGCAAGAAAGGCCTGGTGGTCTGTTTCCAAAGAGTCAGCCATTGAAAACCCTATGGAACACAGTTCTTCTCTGACACACAGGGGGTCGCCATGAGTCAGAGTTGACTTCACGGCAGCTAGTGATGGTGAACATCACTTCGATTAAAATAAATGGGTTCCTTTTACTATACAGTGAGGCAGGTCTTAAGTCTGACATAACCATGATCAAATGAAGGTGAGCCTGCTTTAGACAGAATGTAGAGCTTTCCAGACTCTCTAAAAAGGCAGTGGAACGTGGTCTCCTCTGTCCTTAGATGCTTCTACAGCCAGACATCTGTGCTAGTCCAGTGTACTGGTTTTTTTATTCCATCTGAAGACATCAGGGTATGTTCTGGAGCCCAGTGATGTCACTTTTGCTCAGAAGTGCTGTGAAGGGACCAGTCCAGTCTGGTAAGGGCATCATAGATGTGTATCTGTGTCCTAATGTGGACTGCCTGCCAGGTGTGGGCACCGTTCCTTTTGGGCCCGTAACCTTTTGCTTCACTGTCCTCTAACAAACAAAACAGATGAGAGTTAAACAATTTATTAAAGGTGTAAATGTGTTGATACTACATTTTTTGTGTATATTACCATTCAAGCAGATCACTTCTTGTTTGTTGTTGCTTTTTTAATTGCTCTAGAATGTGTCAGGATAAGTTAGTGGCATTTCTTTTTGAATTAGTGTATATTTTGTATTTAAAAAAATCTTGGTTTCTTCAAGAACATTTAGATATCTAGTGGAGAAAGGTTTCTTCATGATTGTGCCTCAGATGTAAAGATTTTAAAAATCTAGCCAGGTCTGTGTAAACATTATTTTGAATCGTTGTTACAATACTGTCATACTTACAAGGATCATTTTAGAATTTTCTTCTCCATGAGTGTTCCAATGTTTTGTGGTCTAATAGAATTTTATCGCACAAAGCTGAAGATTTGTTAAGTAGATCATTTACTAATATGCTTTTTAGAAATATTTTGGTAGCTTTTATATGAAAATTAATACTATCGTAATAGAAATTGTTTAATGCATATAGCCCTGATCATTGTGGCCAGAGGCTACTAACTTCCCTGTGCTCTTAATTGAGAGTGAGGAGTAGTGAAGAGAAAACATGAATAAACCATCTCCAGGGAGATGGTTAAAGATTAAAATTGAGAAACATTGCTCATTGAGTGCTAGGATGAGATACATTAACCTCTGACACCACTGTGAAGTAGCATGGAAGAAAAAACTTGTCCATTTTTAAGAAGGATTTTCATTTTGAAGGGCTGCTGTGGCTGCTGTTGTGTTACTTGCCATTGAGTTGACTCCAATTCATGGTGACCCCATGTACAACAGAATGAAACACTGCTTGGTCCTGCACCATCCTCATGATTTGTTGCTGACTGGATAATGTTCTTTTGTGATCCATAGGGATTTCTTGGCTGCTTTTTGGAAGTAGATTGTCAGGCCTTTCTTCTTAGTCTGTTTTAGTCGGAAGATCCACTGAAACCTGTCCAGCATTATAGCAACACACAAGCCACCGTAGTACGACAAACTGACAGATGAGTGGTGGCGGCACATGAGGTGCATTGGCTGGGAGTCAGACCTGGGTCTCCCACACAGGAGGTGAAAATTCTACCCCTGAACCACAGGCACCTCAAGGGGTTGCTAGTTATCCTATATTTCCATGCCGTAATCTGGAATTCCTCTCTCTTAATTCTCCTTCCCTCTCTGTCTCCCTCTCTTATATTGCAAGCTATTCTGCATTAAAGAAGGATGGACAGAGACTTTCAACTTTGATGAAGAGAGGTGAAGCAGTAGAAGCAAAACCTGCCAGGCCAGTTACTGTGTACAGTATCTCCCTTCAAAAATTCCAGCCACCATTTTTCACATTAGGTAAGGAGAAGTTTGAAATAATTTGTATTTATGTGTACTTATATTTTGTATTTGGCTATTTTTTGTAACTGTAATGGATCCCTAGGATATTGAAGATTTCTTGAAATTTGAATTTAAGGAAGATTAGAATTTGTTAATCTTTTCTGATAACACAGTTAATGAGATACCTATAGCTATATGGAGGTTCAGAAGTGTTTTTTAAATAGGCTGAGTTTTTCATATATTGTGTTATCTTACTATGAAGTTGGAAGTACTGTGCATTAGATCTCTGTGGGAAAGAATAGGTTGTTGTTGTTAGCTGCTATCCAGTCAGCCCCCAACTCATGGCAAACCCGTGCACCATGGAAAGAAACTTTGCCTGTTCCTGCTATCCCATGATTGGTTGGAGATTGGACCAAAAGGTGTGGGTAAAGGAATATGTATTTTCAAAATTTGAGATTTTATATTTTATAATCTTAATGGGTGCTTCTTCCCCATTTTTGCTAGTACCTTGATCGTTTATGTTCAGTTTCAGAATTGACATTAGTTTATCCTTTTAAAACAAAGCATTTTGAGTTTTGAGACAAGAAATTCTGAAAGTGGAGTGATATTCCCCCCTTCTTTGACCCCTACAATTTACTATGAAAGAACCTGAAAATACAGGAAAAATGGTTCAGGCAAGAATGAATTCTTGGATATGTGGTTGAATTTTAATTCACATTATCAGTTTGAATTTATATATAATCTGCATTTGAAAGAAATTTAAAAACCAAAAAGTTTGTTTATATTTTTTTGAAATTTTATGATCTTCCTGGCTGCAGAAAGTGGTAGCTGAAGCCCTGTACATGTAGGAGCTGTGAAGAATCAAAAGCTGAAGTTCTTAATCTGTAGACCCCCTTAAATTAATCCTGCCTGCTCTTTTCCATTAGCATTATTATTTAATGTGTATTAAATTCCTGTAGAATGTGATTTTGTACAATTAAAAGAAAGTCACCACTTTTCTTGCTTCCTGAATCTAAAATATTTGACCGATAATGATAAAAACACACTTAAAAATGCTTTGCTGTATTCCGTGAAAATGCAGCAGATGGATTGGCAGAGTAGATGGTATCTTTGAAAGTAAGAAAAACTCAAATTTTTCCAACTGCCTTGAAGTCATAAATACTTCATTTTGTTGACTAAAGATTATAATAGGCCAAAAGTTCTGTCTTTTCGCCAAAGTTAAATATAATGCAAGAAAGCTGGCACACCTACATTACAGATCTTAGGGCTCATTTTTTATGTCAGCAGTAGGGGAAAAGAAAGAATTCCCAGGTGGTGAGCTTTGATTAATTCCTCCAAATGGCTTTATTTGTATGGTAAGACTAGAAACAGCTGGAATGTAGTCCTTTTTTGTGGAAATGGAGCAGCTCTTTCCAGAAGAGCTTGTATATGAATAAAAAGAATCAGAAAAGTGATTTTTCTCCGGTCCCAGGCTTAACGTAGGTTTCAAGAACTCTTATTGACCCGTAGAATGCATTCAGTTCTGGGACATCTTATAATTTTAATGGTTATGATTTCTTTAGGAATATTTCCAAGAGAACATTTAAATATGCTGAGCTGTCTGTGTAATGTATTACCCTGAACATGATTCCTGTCACTTTGAAAAGGTTTTTTTGTTTGTTGTGTTTTTTGAGTGTACAAATCCGAATATTTAAAAAAATCTACAGTTCATGATAGCGAAGCTGAGATTTCTGCCATTTAAAACCTATTAAATGAACAAGGCTGAAGTATTAAAGTGCTTTGACTTGCCAGTTAATTTAAAATGTGTTCATGAGGTTCTGCTGTTTGCTTTCTCCACGCTCTGACTTTTCAATCTCACACATATGCTACTGGATGAATAATTTATGTTTTAGCACATAAATATTTTATCACTCGATTGTTTGCCTAGTGCAGTTTTACATTTGTTTAGAGGCATCATTTCTATGTAAAGTGGATTTCATAGGAGGTGGGTAATTTACCATGTCACTGTTAACATTCCAGATGTTGAATGTGGAGGAGGTTTTTATATCAGAAGCTTGGTCAGTGACATTGGCAAAGGTAAGTATGAAAATGAATTCTGGATTATCATTTAGAGAGTAATATTCCTCTTTGATGGGAAGAGGGAATTTTCTGTTTTCCGTATCTCTGAATACTCGCCTTAGGAACTGAACTCTTGGTGCCTTCAGGTTTAGAATCGTGCAGGTTTATGGCATACAGTTATCAGCATCAGCAGCTGCAGTGAAATGCTTGTAATGGGAAAGAAGAGAAAGAGAAGATCAGAAAATGAAAATGGAAGTAATGAATATAAAGGCCAAGGTTTTTTTAAGTGCAAAATATTTTGACTCATGGTAGGGATCAGAAAGAAATTTCCATCTAAAAGTTATTTTCATTAATACACATAAAATTTTTTAAAAATACTGGAAGTGATAGCCTTAGAAACAGCCAGAGAGTTACAGTTCTGGCTCTATCATTTGTTGGCAGTTGTGACATTGGATAGGTCATATTACCTCATCTGCAAAGTGGTGAGGGCAATAAGAAAAATGTTAAGTGCTTGTAGACTTTAAAGCGGTTTATAAGGTGAGCTATTAATTATTATTTTGCTACTTGATCATTTCTTCATCTCAGGACTCTTGGTTCTTACATTGGATTACTGCAGTTTTAGAGTGGTTTTGAGAGGTTTAAATTGAGTTCTTCTGTCATTTGAAACGTTAATAGACAATAAAATACTGACTGTTTATCTTGCGGATATATTTTTTTTCTTCCCATCTTTTGTTGCTTTAGAACTCTCTTCCTGTGCCAATGTGCTAGAGCTGACCCGAACCAAACAGGGACCATTTACACTAGAAGATCATGCCCTTCCTGAAGAGAAGTGGACCATTGATGACATCGCGCAGGCTCTCGAGCTCTGCTCATCTCTTCTCCCAGAAGAGACAGGACTTAAAAAACCCAAACCTGAGGAGTCTAAAGAGGAGAAAGAAGAGCCTAAAGAACAGGCTGTGAGCTGTGAATGTGTATCATTAAATGAGGTGAAGGGAGAGGATGATGTAATTCAGACATGTTAAAATTGGCCTGGCTTTTTTTTTTCTCCCACGCATGAAGAAAAATATCCATTACTTATAGTTTCTATAGGGTACAGTTCATCCGCTAGAAATTATAAATGGCTTTACAGTTGTTCAGTTCTTTGCTGTATTATGGAATGTTCTTTTAGGATGTTTTTATGTTGTTTCTGAATTTGATCTCTCTTCAAAGTCTTTTCCTGTGAAAAGTTGAACAAATTTTCTAATCAAAGAAAAAAGAAATGTGGAGCTACATGTGACTTCGGTTTCACAAAAGTGAACGTAATTTAGTGTTATTTTGACTTTCTGCTGGCTCCATATTGTATTGAAATTCTTTTTTTAACTATGTTTGAAATGGCCATCATTTAACTCTTTGTGTTTTGGAGAGTTTATTTTTATTAAGAACATGTCTTTGATAAGACCGCACTCATCTAGTAATAGCTGTGTTTGTTTAGATCTTGGAAACTAATAAATTTTTATAATAAATATTTGTAAGTGAACCAGATTATTACTGCTACCACTAACAGGATATAAGCAAAAGACTAAATGTTTAATTAAATTCACCTCTACCATTGGAGCAGAGGACAGCTTCAGTGGCTTATATTTTGGCAGCTATGAGATCTCTTCCTGGTAATTTCATCAACATAGTTGACCACTTTTTACCAAGTTACTAAATAGCATATAATATTTTTAATTAAAACGGAAGAATGAGTCTTCAGTTAAAAATAGATTTCTCCGTCCTTTACTAAACTATCTTTATATCCCTTTTTAGGGCATTGATCCTTGTGACATTGTTTTTTTAGTTGTTTGCTCTGTCAAGTATATTTATAGACTTTGAGATAGCTGCCCTGCATTTCCATTTATCCCTTCTGCTCTAAATATTTAGTAATAGTTATTTTCAAACGTTTTCATTCAGATAGTCTATTGAAAGTTCCCTATCCCTCTTTACCATAATTTTGAAAAAAGTTACATAACAACATGGTAAATTTCATATGTAATTATTGCTTCATATAGGAAAGTAATATGTAGTCTGTAGAAAAGTTCAGTTCCCTCTTCATTTATTCAAATATAGTTTCACAAGGAAAAACCATTAAAAATTTCATAAAATAGGAGTTTTTTCATTTTTATGGATTGACTTTCTATTAAAGGTGGTTGCCTGCTTGCAACTTCTAACTCAGAATTTTAAAACATGTAAACTAAAGGGGTTTTGTTTGTGGTTAATCTAGTATAAACTCAATATGAAAAGCTATATGCTTCAGTAGAGCATTTCAGCATATTGGCAACATATTTTAAGTGAAAACATTAAAACTAATTCTTAGTGTAACACAGAAAATTATAAGGAAGAGTTTGATATTGTGATGCATTAACAAAATACCAAACACAAAGCTATAAATTGAAAGTTTACAGTTTTACTTATGCATATCTAAGTAGCCTGTAGCTTATGTCAGCAAGAGATGTTATTAGAACGGCACAGGTTACAGTGTGTCTTCATGCCTTGCCAGATAAGATCCAAATAGAGGAATATTTAGATTTTAGGAAACAGCTGTGGTATTTTTGCTGTATTTCTCAACTTAAAAACTGACATGTATAATTTATTAAGAAGAGTAGAGATTTTTTGGAACGGCAAGTGGCTTTTTAGAAAGATAACCGATCTTTTTTTTTTTTTATTTTTTATTGAAAACCGGGGAACATTTTGCCCAAAAAATATTACCCATAATCCTCACTGTTCTAATACAATGACTTCAGAATTTTAATTTTTGTATTATTTTCCCTTTTTTGTTCACATGATTACAGTCTTAAGGTACCTGCAATTTTCATTTGATTGTTTTCATTTTATGTTATCTAGCTATTTGTACTTAATTAGTTTTGATAATTATTTGAATCATATCATACTCATATATTACAACTGAAGCCATTTCCCTGTTGCTGAAGACTTAAGGAAGTTGTTTTCAATTTATTAGAATAAATTCCTGGGGGTGGGATTATTAAGGGAATAAAATGATCAGTTTTCAGGTTCTTAATATGTCTGCCTTATTGCTTCCTCAAAGAATTGTATTATTCTACTGTCACCATTGGCGTATATCAGTTTCGCTGGAAGTTTGCAGCTTTGGGTGGGGCGTTTAAATATTGTTGCTTATTTAGTAAGTACAAGGGAAAGTTCAAAGTCGCTTTAATTTGTTTTTCTTTGATTTCTAGCAAGCATGAACGTTTTTTCATATTTTAATTCACAATTTAGAATTTGATTTTGTGTGACTTGTCTGTGTACTTTGTTCATTTATATAAACAGTTGTCTTAATGGTTTCGTTATACATTTGAATGAGTTCTTTATGCAGTAAATACTTGATAGAAGTATTTTTCATAGCCTGTTGTCTTTTTTTATTTTAGTTTTATTTTCCTTTTGCTAACTAAATTTGCTAATTTTTATAGTTCTCCCGCTTTTATAGTTGTCAGATTTGAGTATGAATAAAGTTTATTGAAACCTAAAAAAAATACATTATTCTTAACTCTCATAAGCAGCTGAAACTGATCAGGATTCTCTGAAAAAGTTAAAAACTCATCTTTAAAACAAATTTGTTTTCTCCTGAGTCTGGTATTTAAGTACCAACTTTTTTTTCCATTTTAATCAAAATATTAAAGAAAATATCTGTGCCTTATGTATTTCTAGGCTATGATCTTCATGACATAATAAAGTTGTTTTACTTATAAAAAATATTAGAAATTCCGGAAAATGTTTCAACTTGGAACATCCAAAATTACTTCATTTTGACACTTCAAGTTTTTTTATAGTTCTGAAAAATCTTACTGTCCTAATTTAAAAGTTGTCAAAAGTGGTCATAGGATTATATTATTAATGACTTTAAAATCTGTGAGCATTAAAGTAATATAAATTTGCTCTTCACTACTTCAAAACTGTGAAACTTGAATAAAGGCTAAACTGATATTTCCTATACTAACTAGATCTTCTTAAATATTTGAATTAAAAGCCACTGACCTGTCATCAGTAATGATTCATTATATAAAAAAAAAGATGCTTTCTATCAGGTCTTCAGTACGTTTTATGCCTCTGACCATTTTGAAATTTGTGTCATACTTCCAGTGGCATTTAGAGGTTCAGTTAGATGTTGAATTGTTCTGTTTCAAAGGAAGAAAGTAATTTGCTTTATATCAGTGATACATAATTTAAAATATGTGATTCAAAAAGCACTCTAAAATGTTGAAACGTTTTAACAGAGGAAGATTATATATATAAGATTTATGCACTGAAATGATTACAATGGCCTCATTGTGAAATTTAAGTAGAAGGCTTGAAACTTATTTCTTTATGGTATGGGTGAGCAGCTCTGGTTTGGTCTTACTGTTCATTAAATACCATTTGTTAAGCACTTACTGCATGGTACTTGAATCAGTAATGCCTCCATATTTTCAGCTGGGGAGTTAAAATTCTCTCCATGAAGAATATCTTCAGATGGCTGTTTATAAATGATACTAGTAGGAAAATTGAAGTCAAATTGTTTGCTCTTGTTACTCATAACCCTTAAAATATAACATGCTCAGATTGTGTGCTTCTGTACGGATTGTCTCATCAATTTTTGACCCTAGGCAAATCACTTAATCCTTTTTGGGCCTCAGTTTTCTCATCTTTAAAACAAAGGGGATGGGACTACTCCATCTCTAAGGACCTAAAGTAGTAGGCTGCTAAGTGTAGGTAATTTGTAATTATTCTGCTCAGGACTTGTTCTTCAGGAGCCTAATAATGTCTCTCTCAATTCTGGAAAATTTCCATCCTTTATCTCTTTGAATATTGCATCTCTTCCAGCTCATCCTATGAGATTTATGTCTTCTTATTTTATTCTCTGTGTCTAACTTCGATTTCATAACCTCTTTTTATCCCCTCTTGCTGCATCCTGGGACATTTCCTTGAATCTTTCTGATAACTAATTCCCTCTTCTGCTATTTTAATTTACTGTTTAGCTATCTGAGTGTTTATTTCAATAACTTTTTTCCCCCCAGAATCTTCCTCACGTGTGTGTGTTATCCTTCCGATTGGATTTTAAGATACTTACTGACATTTAATATACATGGAGATAATTGTACATACCATTAGTGTACAGTGTGATGAATTTTCACAAACCAAAACACATGACCAGCACCCACATCAAGAAACAGAACATTGCTAGCCCCCCAGAAGCCGTCTAGAAGCTCTTCTAGTCATTAGCCACCCCACCCCACCTGACCACCAAAGGTAACCCCTCTCGTAACAGTACAGATTTACTAGTTTTGTCTGCTTTATATAAATAGAAACATACAGTATATACTCATGTCCGGCTGCTTTTGCTCAATATTATGTTTGTAAGGTTCTGTGTTGTTGCATATGGTTGTAGACCATTCTTTCGCATTATTGTTCAGTATTCTGTTGTGTGAATATGCTACCATTTATCCGTTTTACTGCATGATGTTCATTCACTTGGTGAGCTTCCAGTTTGGGTTATTTTGAATAGTACCTCTGTGAACAATCTAGTGTATGTCTTGATTGTATATGATTCTATCTAAATGTAGAATCTAAGTTACATAGTATACATATGTTAAGTTTTCATGACCGCACATGATGTGCTGTGGTCAGGAATCAAACCCAGATCTCCCGCATAGACAGTGAGAATTCTACCACTGAGCCATCCTTTAGCTCTTTTCTCTAGGACTGAATGTTTCTTGGTATTTCATTATATCTCCACTAGTGGCTTCTTAGTTATACCTCTTAAAAATTTTTTAGTAGTTGCTTCAGGATTTACAATGTACAGTGAAACCTGTGACAGTGGGAACTCTACAGGACTGTCTAGTTTTTCTGGGTCTTGCAAGTTTTCTGCCTTTGATAGGGTGCAGTTTTACCACCTTTCTGTCACTCGTTTTAGTGGGAAATATCTGAGTTTTCCTTCTCTGACAGGTTTCTGCATTACGTAGATTCCGGCTTTTGCAGTTTTATTGTACATCTTTATCACAGATTATCTTCAGAGAGTATTGTACCATCTCACATATAATGTAAGAACTTTACAATAATATACTTCTGTTTCTTCTCTCTCATCTTTTGTGCTGTTGTCTTGATACATTTTATTATTTACATGTTATAAACCCTATAATACGTTGTTACTTCTTGTTTTTTTACTTTTATTGCTTTAGACTACTGGTCAGCAAACTTTTTTTTGCAAAGGGCTAGATAGTAAATATTTTAGGCTTTGTGGGCCATATGGGTGGTTTCTGTGTCAGCTACTCACCTTTGTGCACTCAACTTTATTCACATTGTAGCATGAAAGCAGCATAGACAATATACATCAATGAATAGGTGTGGCTATATTCCAATAAAACTATTTACAAAAAGGCATGTAAATATTTGGCCCCCATGCTATTGTTTGCCAAGCCCTACTTTAGACTCACTTATCTTCTAAAGAGGTTAAAGGTAATAAATTTATCCACGTTTTTTACCATCTTGGTGCTCTTTGTCTCTCTATATAAATACAAATTCCT